AAGCTTAAAAGTCGCCATAGGATTGATTGCTGGATGTTTCCCTCGCCAAAATTTGGAATTTTAGTTTGAAGAAAAGTAATCAAGCTATCATACAATATCTACAAGTTTAAAACTACTGCTAGAGAAACAAAAGTAATCAAGCTATCATACAATATCTACAAGTTTAAAACTACTGCTAGAGAAACAAACATTTGTATAATTAAACTCAAATCCTTTACTGGGATTTTGCCCTTTGTCAATTTCCCAATGTGATTAGGGACTAGCCCAGGTTTACATTTTATTGCTATGTATTTTATCGTGCTGCCCTTTACACAGTTAGGAATCTAATATGCGATAATGATCAATTACAGTTTTTCTGAATTGCTAAAACACATTTCTTGAAACCATCACTCATTTTCTCAAAACCTTAAACACAAATCCAAATACTCAAACTAAATTCACGAAACCTCTGACTCTTCCATCAGAATCAAACAATCACTGCAAAACCATTTCACTTGCACTCAAAATCAAACGGTGCTCTCAGATCACACAAACACGAGTCAATAAAATAAACACTACAGAGCATTCGTTAGACACTACAGAGAAAAATGGAGAACACAGCATCCAGAACATTACAGAAAAAACGTATATTGTATTGAGTAAACAATTTTGCAATTCTGTAAAAAAAAACTGAGTAAGGTGAGTATATTGTGTAAAATCACAAGAAGAGATTCATTCTGTCTCAGCATCATGTCTTTGTGCTTGAGTCCGGCCTGAGGACTTTGTCCACATAACAAGTAATGTATTTTTGGCTAGACAAAGAGAAAAACACCCTCTGGTCTGACAGATCCAGCCTTAATAACACTCTCAAAGCCTTACTCTTTCTCTCCTCATCCTCCACTTCTTGCATGTACTCTTCCTCCTCTCCTTCTCAGATTGTTTCCATCTATTGTTCGTATCATCGTTCAGTCACCTGTGCCACTTGTGCACTCTGAACTGGCTCATATTTTGTACAGTTGGTTTGATCACATCATTAGAAACAAGTGTGAACGATTTTGAATCGTTGTATGTAAACGATGACAACTGTGCTTTAGTTGTGTTTAACTTTAGCCGCTTGTGTTTAGCATTTTGCAGCACAAATGCATTAAAAAAAAGTGTTTAAGTGAATAAGAATGTGTTTAGAGTTTAGCAAAAAGAGTGCATGAGATTTGCAAATAGAGCCTAACTGCCTGAACGTGTTTAAGGTTTAGCAGAAAGTGTGCTTTATTCGACAAATTGGTTTAAGCTAGTGAGAATTTGGTTCAGAGATTGGGGTTTAGTGTTTTAGCAATTCAGAAAAACTGTAATATTAAAGGAATAGTTTACCCCAAAAAATCTAAATTGGCTCAAAAATGAAAACCCTCAGTCCACTATGATGGCCAAATTTCCAAAGATCGACTCACCAATACTCTTCACACTTTACATTAAACATGTTGCATACAACAAAGTACCAAAAGGACTGGTGTTTTGAACATGAACCAGAGTACCATGTAAATATCCTGTATGTAAATTACAACAAAGCCAGTATGCTACCAGTTTCTTTAGTAATGATATTATACTTGTACTTCCTCACATAAACAATGCATTATATGTTAATAAAAGACTCAAGTTGTCTATGGAGTTTATGACTATAAACACAGGCACACATTAGGCATCATTGTCAGCAGTTTTGGCAAAAGTTTTTTTTAAAAGTAATGAATTACAATATTGTGTTACTCCCTAAAAAGTAACTAATTGCATTTCTTAGTTATCGTTTATGGAAAGTAATGCTTTACATTACTTTTTCATTGCTTTTTATCATCTGGGCTGGTCTTGCTTGTTTGTTTTTAATATAAAAAAATTCTATTTTTTGTCAATTTAAAAGACCTCTCACACCAAAAGTGAAACGAATAAGCCTCAGGCTGAAGGAAATGTAAATTCACAACTGTATAGTAGAGGGCGCAGCTCAAACAAACCTTTCAACAGGACAGAGAAGAAAGTTCAACACTCTTCAGCAATTTAAAGGGAACCCTGGGTATTAAGACTTGAACGGCTTAATATAACGTAAATGATAAACCCATGAAAGATTTATGTTATTTTAAAAATCCACATCATTTTATACATATTTTGGACTATAGGGGGGGCGCCATTATTTCGATGTCGTGAAATGGTTGCACTAAATTCAATCTAAAAGTCGAATCTTTTCCTAAAAGTTTCCATGGGTTTTCCATCAGAATTCATTAAAAAATTATATTTAAAGAAAGTTTTGAATGAAGTTTACCACAAATATATATATATATATATATATATATGTGTGTGTGTGTGTGTGTGTATACATATATCTGTATAGACACACACATTTTGACATTGAACTCTTGGACACTGCTGTCAACTATGACCCCATAATATGGGGCGTGGTTTGTAAAATAAAATGTGTAAATTCTGTCAGGTTTCAACTACCAAAATTAATACATTTTGCAAGATTTACCTAAATAAACTATGCAATTATTTTTTTACTATATCAAAATAAAAGACCAAAGTTAAATCTAAATGTTGAATCTAAATCTAAATCTTGTATTTAAATCTAAATGTTAAATATACAAATAAATCTGAATATTATATTCAAATGTTAAATCCAAATCTTATATCTAAATATAATATATATTTCGCCGGTTCCCGCCTCCTTCTTCCCGAACTACTAACTTTGTTACAGATAGATAGATAGATAGCTATTGATATGATTTACATTTAGATATAATATTTACATATAGGATTCACATTTATATTTAGGATTTAACATTTACATTTAGCATAGGCGGAGTTTAGGGGCAAGGGGCGTAAAAAAGTTGGGGCCGGGCTGAAATGCAGGGCTCTAGCTCTGATCTAGAACACACAAAATGATGAAAATGACTGAAAATGTATCAGAAGAGATGAAAGAAAGATAGTGGTCCTCTACGCAATTCGGAAAAAGAGGCAGCTTTTCTGCATTTTTTTTTTACTCTTTGTACAGCAGTTATTGTTCATTCTAACTGTATTTGTAATGTAGAATGTGTGTTACATAAATACATGAAATAAAACATAAAAAAGTGCTCGTGGCTCGTCTGCCACTGGGTGACCCCCCCACCCATAAAAGTGAAACTCCGCCTATGACATTTAGATTTAACATTTAAATATAACATTCAGATTTATATCTAGCTATATTTAACATTTAGATTGAAATATATGATTTAGATTTAGATGAAACATTTATATTTAGCTTTGGTCTTTTATTTTGATATAGTAATATAGTATAGGCTAGCTTATTTAGGTAAATCTTGTAAAATGTATTTGTTTTGGTAGTTAAATCTGGCAGAATATGTCCAAACGTTGCCCCATAGTCACCCCATTATCCGAGCAGAATAGCCTATATTGTTAAAAAGAGAGTATGATATTCGATTGACCTTTTCTGATCTGTCAAGATCTGTCAAGGTCAATATTACCATAATGTACAGTGTTTCCAAATTCCTCAAAGCATGTGAAAAACAGCGCGCGCCTGTGAAGGTCCTCCATTGGGTTCCAGTGTCGCTCGAGACTGAAGAGCAGCACATGCACACACCACACGCGCTTTCTGTGTCTTCTACCTCCGTGTGTGTCACCCACCCGCACGAGAGCCCGTCTCCCCTCCTCCCGGAGCATGTGGGTACACGGATGGATGGCGCACAGGCCCGTCTGAAAGGACAATAAAGCACAAAGACGCTGGTGAGTTCTTCTTTTTCCTCTGCGAAACGCCGCATTAGAATCTGCGCGTTGTAGCGCGGCACAGGAGATATGACGGGATAAATGTGCAGCTGTGTGCTCAGGTGAAGAGCTTTTGTGTCCGCATCAGCTCCTGCGAGCCGCGTCCTGAGCAGCATCCCTTTAAACCTCAACTGTTTCCGTCTCACACGGAGACGCAAACGTGACCGTCCATGCAATTTCTGGGTATGAACAGCTAAATGTAGGAGTCGTGTCTAAAACAGCCTGTCAGTCTGTAATTATTATATTAAATGTCCAGTGTGTGCAGCGATAATGCGGATGTAAGGTAAAGAAAAATAAGACAGAAGTGTCTTTGCAGGAGATCTAAGTGTCCTCCGCTTAATGTCAAAGCGAGAGACAAAATAAGGGACCATTTTTAATTAGAGATGGATTTCGACCGAGGCAAAGGTGTCGATTTGTACCCTGCGCAATGCACGGATACTGAACATGCGAAGGCATGCGCTTCATGGTGTGCATTTGACCACAATCCATGCGTGCTGTACATTAAATCTTCTGGTGGTATTACTTAATGTATCATTTTTTTACATTTTAAATATGCAATTATATTATTGGAGTCTGTATAAATTGTATAAAATATACATTGGCTATAAAGGAACTGTTGCACTGTAAACTAATAGATATAATTGAAAATTGATTGAAAATCTTTGTTTATCTATCTGCAAATTAACAGTGGCATTTCAAGTTGACAGAATGCCACTGAATAATATTGAATTGCTGTCTTTAATATATTTCAGGATAGTAAAATCTAGCACCCAAGCTGGTTTGTACATAGTTGGTATTTGTTTTAGGGTTAGGACATAGCAGTGGGCAACATTATAAATCTGATTCGGCTTTTTCAGCCAGCCCATTTACTTTTCAAATTGAATTTGTAGTTGAAATTTAACATTATTATTGGCCACATTGCAGGAAGGATGCTAATCTTACTTTTAAAAACTACTTGCATTGCTGCAATATATTCAGGCTGATTTAGTCATATTCAATAAATTAACAGGTAATTTAGGTGTTTTTAAAAAAAATCATTTTGTAGATTATTTGACCAAAAATTGACAGAACTGTGAGATTATGAGATTTCACACGTAAAGCATGATTGCCAGTTTTCAGTCAAGCCATTTCATTTTTTAACATCCATACACTTCCAACGATTATTTAATAACTTTTTGTACATCTCATGTTTACCGTCTCAGATCTTGCAGGACTCAAGAATGTCCCCGATCAAAAGCATGTGTCAAAATGTCTGGTTTTCTCACAGACAGTCCTTGAAATCCAGTCAATGAAGTACACAGAAACACTCTCTCCCTGCTCTGAATGGAGCCACCCTAATAAAAGGTTAGGTTACTTCACAAAACCCAGATTATTACATACAGTATGAACCATGTGGTTTTATCTGCAATAATAGTGATTTACTAGAGATTTGGCACCATAATATTGTATACATTAAGTGGATTTGAGTTAATTTATATAGGCTAGTAGTGTACATTAAAAACTATATGAACACAGTATTGACATATTAGATTTAATATCAAATAATGAATGCATATTGTCATAAGCATAATTTAATTTGTTAGAAGTTTTATCATAACTTTGTAATTCCAATCCAACTTCTTTCTTGCTTAGTTGAAATGGAGGATGAAGATGGTACTTGTTTACTTGATGTTTTATGGTAAATGTTGTTACATCCAATAAATTGAATTTTCTTAGTTTGTATGTATTATATTTAAAGCAGTCACACCAGAAGATTTGCTCATATGTTAATTTCTGAATGCTTACTTTAAAACAGTGACCCTCAAGCCCTGAACGACTTTCTTCATGGGACAAACGAGGTATGGAGGAATCATAATATTACAGTGTGGCTTTAATCTTTAACGTTAGTAACATTAGTGACTACCTGTTACAGTATTTTCTCCAAAAATTGTTTTAGTTGTGGTAATTTTGGAACCTTAGCGCACTTTAAAAGGTCATATGTAGAGAGATCTAACATGGATAACTTAGAAGAACCTTAACAGAAGAAAATCTCATGTTTGTGTATACAGTTTTGTGGGCAAATACAAATTCTATAAAATTACCACATGCGATTAACTGTCCCTCCTCCCTTCTGTTCAAACAGCTGCCAAGTGGAGACTTACTCATTAATTCATCCTCTGGAGAGCCGTCACTCCTCACAGACACTCCAGTGAGTCTAGACCTCTCTCCCCATGGAAGAGGGAGCTTATAGATTTGTTTCAGCTGGGACCTCCCAGAACATGCCTGTCTGTCTAACAAACCCCACTTTTTTAGTATCAAAAGAATGGATTTGTGACTTTAAGCTTTAAAATAGTGTTTTAAGCTTTAAAAAGTGTTGAATTCTTTTAACAGATTAACAAACCTTTAACATGACTGTTGTGACCGTTCTGCAGAGCCCTGCGTCTCTGTTAGCAGATGATGCTAGTTCTCAGGACACTCCTGTCTCTGGCTGTGTGGATCTCTCCTTTCTGGAGGAGGCACTGCTGGCATCACCGGCATCCTCACTAGGAAGTGGAGGTCCAGAGGCGCAAGAAGATCCCAATGTCCAACTAGTGGAACAGCAGAAAGAGTCCGAAGAGATCTGTGACATTCTCCAGCAGAGTCTCCAGGAGGCTGACATCACAGAAGACACTCTCGCACTGGAAGCAGGACTTGCCCAGATAGTAGAAACTCTCCAGCTTGGTTTGTCTGGCACATCCCTTCCTTTGCCTGCAACGCCATATTTCTCCAAACCATTGACCGCTCCTGGATTGATCTCTTTACCAAAGGACACTCAAACAGCAGTGGAGCCTCCTCAGCCATCTTTGTTAGCTGTTGGCCCAGGCTGCCCCTCACTCAAACCACCAGGAACCCAGTTAATGAGTCTACTTCCTGGGAATGTATTCCCCACACCTCCACTCGAGGCATCCTTTTCTATTAATTCAGCACAAAGCACCAGCATGATTATCCAAAAGACCCTACCAAGCCTCACAAGCCGCCAGATGTTGGCCTCCACCGTTAGAACAATTACCCCATCAGGGGTCATGTTACAAAAAACTCTTCTACCCATTCAACCTAAGTTACCAGTCAACATCCAGCCCAGGCTTCTACAGCTCAGTCCCAGGCCAGGATTTGCCTTCATCTCAACAAATACACCACAGAGTGTCTTGTTATCCCCTTCTGTTGGCTCAAAGCAGTCCTTACAAGCACAGTCCACACCAAGTGTCAGCAAACCTGTTAGCTTCAATCTGGTTGGTCAGCGAGGACCAATTGTCATTCAGCCCCAGGATCCTTTTCAAGGCCAGAGACAATTCTTTCTGCCGAGCCAAACACCTGCAACTACGTCCCAATCTACCAGCATACCAAGGTCTATTCTTAGTACACCAAGCAATCAGGTGTCTAACAAACCCAATGTCGACAGTTCTCATATTGTGACTGTACGGCCAAGGCAAATCAACTTCAGCCCTATTTTCACCTCCTCAACTACACAACTCACCCTCAAACAAGGGGCTCTTCTGTCGGGGTCCTTACCAATTCAGTCAATACTTCCTACAGTCTTCCAGATGCCAACACAGCTAGCAGGGACCTATGCACCTCAATTGCAGTGGCAGCATGATGCAGTAGTTCAAAACACTGTCGGAAACCAGATCACATTGATTAATAATGCCAATATGCTTATTCCTGATATGACCACCATTCCAATAGTAAATGGTCAGTCAGTGATACAAAGTCTGCCTTTGGTGCCTCAAGCCCAAAATGCTCTAATAGGGGGACCTGAGGGAAAGGTGCGTCTAACCCAGAATTCAGTGCTTCTCCTGCCTGAGAGAACAATAGATCAGCAGGAGAATGTCAACAAACCGTTTCAAGTGAGTTTCTGTCACTTTGTTGTAACAATATTTAGGAATGGTCTTTATGTTAAATAACATGTTTCAGAATCTTATTTGTCTTATTTATCAATCAATTTTGAAAGCACTGTTGTATTTCCTAACCGATTTGTAGCTTAATACATTTGTTCACTGTTTTTATTCACTTCAGGAGAGCAGATTGCTTCCTCCAGCTTCAATGGAATCACCCGTTGCAGAGACTCACTCTCTGCCCTCTCCAGTATCAACTCTACTACAGTCATCACCAGATATCAGTTGTGACCCTGAGACAGTTTTGTCATTATCCCCACAACTGATCACTCAGACAGGAGAGCAACAATTTACTGAAGGAGAACATAACCTATTTCATCACAATCAGGATTTAGTATGTCCAGTACCGTCAGCCAGCCAAGATTTGTTAGCTGCAACTCTGCTTGTGCAAATGGACAACCACATCTCTTCTGCTGTAGGTGAAGCTGAGGATTCGCTCACATCTTTGACTACATCTGAGACTTTCTCTTCATTGTGTGAGAGTGAAGAGATTCTGATGCCAGCATACCATGATTCAGAACACACTGATATTCTATTGCAAACTCCTATTGGCCAGTGCTCTGTAAAGACCTCAGACGACACAAAGGGCTCAACAGCCCCAGTTTCAGATGAGCAGGATTCCTCTGTGTTGATTGCTCTTGATGCTGACCCCAAGTGTCAAGAGGGGCTAGTAACGAGTAAGAGACCTTCCTCTTCCTCAGAGAAGTTGTGTATGTATCCAGAGCAATTGGGCCATAGTCATGTGTTAACTGAGCTCAGCAGAAACTCAGAGTCAACAGCCCATGTGTACAAGCAGCAATACAATGAACATGACACAGGTACATTTTTAAACTAGACTAATTTTTTTTCCATCAGTAACAATATTATTGCTGTAGCTACGAAAGGAGGACTAAACACGGTCTTTGTTAGAAGGCATTTTAAGCTTCCCAGAAACAGTAGATAGAAACTTATGCAATAGAAGACGGTGCTTCGTGACATTTTCTCTTTGTATTTGCTGTACATACAAATATAGGCCTATTCTTTATAATAAACAAATTGTTATAATCATTCTATCATCCTTTTTGTCTTCAAATTTATATCTCCCCTGATTAGAGCTCACAGTCCCTAGGAACACTGGGATAATCTCTTTGGATCAGCATCAGTTACAGGAGAAGGTATATCTCGGGCCCAGGCTGCTTGCACAGGACAAGACCTACTCAGCACTTCAGAAGAACCAGGTCCAGGTTCAAATATTATAAATGAAACGTGAAATCTTAGTCAAATCACGCTAGATTTCAGGAAGATGGGATATTTCAAAGAGATTCTGAAAACAGAGTAAAGTAATTCTAGATTCAAAGTATTCTGTTATTAAAATTCCTTCTGTGTCACAGACGTCAACTGCAAGCGTGGATCCAAAAGAGGAGAAGCTGAGACTAGCAAAGAGGCAACACAGGTAAGTAAAAATAGATTTATTCAGTAGCATACTAAATATATGTAGAGATCAGTATGAATTTCAAAATATTTAAGATGGAAAATGGCATAGGCAGGGCTGTAGCTAGGGTATGCAGGAAACTGTGTCATTTGAAATCGCGTTCCGTTTGAAATTGGGGGACTGGGGACTAGATATTGGCACTCTGGAACAGACCAGCTGATTGGGGAATAAAAGACAATACATTTCAAGGCACCTTACGTTAAGAATGCCCAATCCCATTCCCAGATAGCTACCTTTCCGCAGAATTCAGTTCCAGCCCTGCACCAACACACCTTTCTGTAATTATCAAGTGTTCCTGAAGATCTAATTCAGGTGTTTTTGATTAGGGTTGGTGCTGAACTTTGCAGGCAGGTCAATCTCAAGGAACAGGTGTAAAGACTCCTGGTACAAAAGCAGGTTTTGGTTGCAGTGTAACCCTTTTGCACCCAGGCACAATGGGCAGAGGTTAAAACAAGGCTCTCAAATAAAGGCTTTGTAATGCTTTCCAGGACAGGAATACATTAAAGCAACACTTCTGATCACAAAAAAGCAGGGGTCTCAACCCTGCTCTTGGAGAACTGACCTGTAGATTTCAACGCCAACCTCAAACACACCTGAACTAATCAAGGTGTTCAGGGTTACTTGATAATTACAGACAGGTGTGTTGGAGCAGGGTTATAACTGAATTCTGCAGGACAGTAGGTCTCCAGGAGCAGGGTTGGAGATCCCTGCAACAAAGGCTGCGTTTCACTTGGCATTAACATGCGATCACCGTGCAGACACGATGGCTAGATTACGTTTACATTACACTGAGATCCAATCACAATGCATCCTTGACTAGACCAGGACATGCTGACCGGATAACATTCAGATCAGAAGCGCGTTGACACTTGTCTTTTCAATGTGTATGTGGACAACAACCGGATACAGTTTGCATGTTAATGCCAAGTGTAAACGCAGCTTTTCCCTAGAGTAGGGGTGCCAAACTCAGCTCCTGGAGGACCACAGTCTTGCAGAGCTTAAAGCCTGTGTTATACTTTCCGCATGAGCAATCCGGACGCGTACACTGACAGCGCGGACGCTGACTACTTGTATTTATACTTCCGAAAGCATACGCTGATGGTCTGCTCCGCGGACGTGTTCCATACATGCGTAGTAGATCGGCTTGAACAATAAACAAACATGTGAACAAAGAATTGCCCAGAGTTATTGCACATCTGGCTGTCTTTATATTGTTTTATCGACGGATTGTACAGGTTCGAGTAGCAACGGGCTTCTTCACACAGCCTGCGCATGCACAGTAGCCTACTGACACAAAAAATGGGAGGCAAAAAATGGGAGGCACGCGGATGTCCACGCGGAGCCTCCGCGCACACTCTCCGATGACGATTTTTACGTCACACATACCATAGCGGACCCTAGCGGACTCGCGTACGTGGAAAGTATAACACAGGCTTAACTTCAACCCTAATTAAACACACCTGATCCAACTAATCAAGTCCTTTGGGATTATTTGTGACCCTGGAGCACAAAACCAGTCTTAAGTCGCTTGGGTATATTTTTAGCAATAGCCAAAAAAATCATTGTATGGGTCAAAATTATCTATTTTTCCTTTCATGCCAAAAATCATTAGGATATTAAGTAAAGATCATCTACACATACTGTAGGTCTACTGAAGCGGAGTTTGACACCCCTGCCCTAGAGAGAACATCTGCGTATAGATCCCGCTGCAGGAACTAATCCCTGTTTCAGGAACAATTTGAGGAACTACTTTTTGTTCTTTTCACACAAAAGGAACTATTTTGTCTTCGAGTCATACCCCAAACTGTATTAGATACATCTGTTGTCAGTATTTTTTGCTGGTTTTGAAAACGACTGGATCCCTCTACCAAAGGAATGCCACCATTTATTTCATCAATACCATTTACATCTTTCCAGTACAACTCCCAATAATGAAAGACAAACTTTTAGATAGTACAACGGAACCACCGCCAAGTGCAAGGCCATTAGGCCTAATAAGTGGAGGCAAGTCCTGAACAAGACAGATATTTTTCTGTAGCACAATGATAGGCATTGCCAAGTCTGAAATGAAGACTACTGTAGACATGATTGGACAACCAGAATCAAAGTGTCTCATTCTGCCTGCTAACTTGTTGGAGAAAAGAGTTACAGCAGCTTTTATACATTTATTGACAATATAGGGTGCAATACTGAGTCCAAATGGCAACATGAGAAGCTTGTACACATTGCTTTAAAACACAAACTAGAGATGTTAACTATGAGCAGCATAAATACTATAAATAAAAACGGATTAGAGATTGAATATAATAAGGTGGTTAAAGCTCAGGGCTGATAACCTCAAAAAGGTTGAGGTTGCAATTCTTGTAAGGAGCAATGAGCTATCACTATTATGGTTACTCAAATATACGTTGTCACTTTGAATAGAAGTATCTGCTGAATACTTAAAGGGGTCATGAACTGGCTTTTTTTATTATTTTATACTGTTGTCTGAGGTCCAGACAACAGTTCTCGTGGTTTTTACATTCAATAATAGGCCATTTTCTACCCTGGTTTTGAGGCCGGTGTTCGAAACACTCTGTTTTTATGGGCGTGCCGCATTGAAGACTTGGAAGTAAACGCCCACTGCTATGATTGGATAATAGTTTTGTATACTAAACTAACTTTCTGTGTGTCAGTTTGACAAGCTATACGCCCTTCATAGTTGGAGCCTTCTGTGACTTTGGTTAGACACGTACACAATCAGGACATATCAAGCAACCTTTAACAAAGCAATAGTGTAGTGTTGTTACGTTCGTGAACGAATCGTTCTTTTTGAACGAATCTTTTTGGTGAACGAATCGTTCTCGTTCACGTAATCCATTGACTCATATTTCTCGTTCACTGAAATTCCTCCCTCCACAGCAGCGCGGCGCTATTGTGACACATACAAATATTTTTTACTCACATAAGTGTGCTGCGTCATTCCTGTCGGATCCAATATAGATGGCACAGCATTGCGCTCAATGTTTTACTCACGTGAGCTAGAACTTCATTATAAATAAAGTTCAATCATGCATTCCTAATATTTGAACCCGAAGGAAGGTTATGCAGCGACTGTGTTCTTCCACAACCAGGCACTGCACAATATTTAGCTATCTACAACGGCATGTTTATTGCTTGGTTGCTCGATCCAGTTTAGCGCCACTTATGTTATTTCCCTACTATGTCACGCACAAATCAGTGGACGGGGCTATAGAATTAGGAGGCGGTGTTAAACCTAGATAGGCACATTCCAGGATCTGGCATTCGCTGGGCCTGGTGTCAATAAAAGCTTCTATTTCAGTAACAAGGATGTTTTCAGTTCTGAAACTTACAGGATATTCTTTTAGTACGATGACCTCTTATATATCAAAAGCTCAAGTAAAAGTTGATTTCTCAATTCATGACCCCTTCAAGATTAAGCTACACCTTTAGGGGACAAGGGTATTGTGGGAATATGAGCCCTCAATATCAATGGTTTCAAACCTCGTTCTCAGAGTACCCCAACACTGCACATTTAGCAGCTCATCGACTCTTTGGTAAAGACTCCAAGTCCTGTAATGGGAGTGTCAGACAAAGGTAAGCAGATGAGTTGAATAAGGTGTTTGATTAGGAAATGTTAGGAAGAGTTTGAAAATGTGTACCGTTGGTGTGCCTCCAGGAAAAGGGTGAGAAACACTGGATTAGAGTCTCTTACCTTTATAAAAAAAAAGTCCACCAAGTTCCCATGGAGAAGCTGACCATTGAATAATGAGCTAATCTACATACTCCAATAAGATTGAAAACTGCAATATTGGAGGGTTCTCACCAGTTTGAATGCTAGCTGGCCTGAATGTCTGTTGGGAAGGATAGCATCATCATCTTCATGTAAGGTGAGAAAGACTCCACTAGTGAAGTAAGAGCAAGATATGGCATTATTTTGCTTTGTCTAGGACACCATAGTGAGATACCGAACAAATGTTTGAAAGACAAAACGAATAAAATTTTAACAAATACAGTCATCCACAAAGTCGCTATTTAATGTACACAAAAACTATTTTAACAGACATTCTTTGTGTGTGCATTTGCAGGTTCAAACAGCAGATGTTTTTGGACCACAGTGCTGTTCTCAACCCAAACACTTCGGCTCCATTTGTTTCAGTAGAGGATGCTTTGAGACATTTGTTGCCGTACCATTCTTGTGCTAGAGCTCTACCCAGCCAGGCTGACTTTATCTCAGGTTTGACTCAATCAGGAAGTTCGAATTTGACAATATTTTATAAAATTGCTGTCCTGTAATGGACTCAACAGTAAACTAAACATGAGAAAATATCTGTCATTCTTTGTGCAGTCGACAAGCAGTTTGAGTGCGTTTCAGTCGTTCTGTTGAAACAAATCAAAGACATGCTGAACAAGTACAGGAAACAACTTCTGGCTGAATCCCAGGTAACAAATGGTGTCATTTATTGTAAATTCTTGCACCTTACTAATTCAGAATCACTGACCAAAGTCATTTTCTGAAACTCTAAACATCATTTTGGTTCTTTGGAATATAAGAGGTGGCAGGTCTGAGTTGTTATTGGTTTCTTCAGCAGGAGAGCCCATCAGCAGAGATGGTGATGCTAGAGCGTTTGTTTCTCCAGTCAGAGAGAGTCTCACTGGCAGAAGACAGACGCAGAGCCAGAAGAGAACCAGGTAACAAGGCACAAGATTATTTTATGCCTTTTTTTCTCACTAGTAAAGCAGAGTTCCTCAAATCCAACCCTGGAGGGCCACTGCCCTGCAGCATTAAGTTCAAACCCTGGTCAAACTCAGGAACCTGTAATTTTCTAACTCTGAAGATCTTGATTAGCTTGCTTCGGTGTCTTTGATTAGGGTTAGAGCTAAACTCTGCAGGTCAGTGGGCCTCCAGGGTCGGATTTGAGAAATTATGCTATAAAGAGGACAGAGGTACAACAATTACAGCCACAGATTACATGCACTCTGACCTGAAACAGTGAAATGTGAACAGGTTTCATTATTTTGGTGGTTCAGCAGAGTCCTTCCTCATGTCCCAGCCCAAGAACTTATCTCAGCACAGCCAAGCGTCGTCAGTCCACACTGGCCTTGCCGGTTGTCCTGCATCTCCACCATCGTGGACCTTGCAATCTGACAGACCTCCTGGCCTCAAGACATATCGCTCCAGCAGCAAAGGAGCAATACGCCTCACTATCAAACATGAGTCAGGATCCCGCAAAGTTATCCACAACTCATGTGACGCCTCGCATGCCATCTCTGGGTTTAAACGAAACTACAGCGGGCAGTTAACTAAGGGAGGAGCCATTCACAGGAAAGATGAATCACTTAAGCCTCCTTTGTCAAATGTTGCAGAGAACAAAAATGATCAAAGGCCAGATCAGCAGAACAAGCTAAAATTGGACCTTGACATGGAAACAATAAGGACAGGTAGTGATTCGCAGAACTTCTCTGCTTCTGTGGCCAGTCAAGACTATGTAATTCCAAGGGTGCAAGGTTTGCTTCCAGAGCAGTGCACTCCAATGCTTAAAAGGAACAAGCTGGCTACTTCGGCAGCAGTGTCTCCCAATTTGCCTGCATTAGTGGAAGACGGGGAACTGAGTGAACACCTGCAAAGTGCTTTAGACAGCATCCTGGAGCTGCAAAGGTTGCAGGGTTCTTAAACCCAAGATTCCACTGGATCAGGCCGTCCGCTGCATGCTAGAAGGACAACTATGAGACAGAAGAGCTAGATGAAAGGAAAAGCCTCAAGATTAAGGATATTTGACTTTCACATCCTGCAATCCACATCCAGCAGAGACTAATTTTTATTTCTTTTTCCTGAGGAAGAAAGTCCTATTAATTATTATTTATTGTGTAAATAGAGTAAATAGAATCTGGGACGTTTCTTGAATCTTTGGAACCTTTTTGTGGAGATACATTATTCTAATTGATAGTCTTCTATCAGTTTAAGACCAATTCAAAATCACAAGTGCAGTTTGGCTGTATGCATGTGCCATTTTGATGTGAATGTGTCTATAACAAGGTTATTGTTCTTTTGTTGGGGACTTTGGTTCGCTTGACATTGTTTGGTTGTTTTTAATAGCTCTTTACCAAACTCTGGGGCTCCTGAGGAAGCAAACAAGAGTACATTTGAAAACGGCAGCTTGGGGTACAGTTCATATGGATGTAAACTGGCCTAACAGCCTTAACCTGTGAAAACTGCCTTATACAGCAATTGTGAGAATGTACCAAGGCAAATTGCTTGGTCCTAACACAAGTTCAGAAAACACCAGCCAAATAAACCAAAATGACATCAAGCAGACTTGTGTCTGCAGTATAAACTCTAGTGTGAAAGCAGCCCATACGCAGACAGTTCAGAGAATGATGTTGGTTCCCGCTTGTTTACCCCCAAATAAAATACACCCTATTTCATTCTAAAGTCACCAGCAAAACCAATTTAAGCACCAGTGAGATTTCATAAACACGTTAACTTAACAGACTGAAAATTTAAACGTAACAATCTCATTTGAACAACTGGCAGATGTAAAGTACGCCTTATTCTGTCACTGCAATGAACTGTACTATTCCAGTTGTGGTTTAAGACAAGATACAGAAATGCAAAAGCAATAAGCAGCAGATGGTTGAGAAAATATGGTTGTGCCTCAATCAAAATACAACATTCGTTTGCTTTTCCATTGCTATAGATCATGCAGCTGTTTGAAAAGTATTGAGTCACTCCTGATGTTCAACATGCACTTAATATTGTTAGAATACAGATCTTTTTTAAAAAAACATTCCAGCATCTGTTCACCAAAACCTAAAACAGTAACTATTGACATCCAGTCTATAGTTAGATATAGGACTATAGGCAATAGAATTATTTATTTTAATGTTTTTTCTTGACAATCTACTACCATGTCATGCTCACGTTATGCCAGCGATGATTACTTCATAATTATATAATGGAGTAGTATGGCAAGGCATTTTATAAGTGTTTCTTTGTCCTGTTAGTTGTGTCACTCGATATACATTACAAATATTGTGCTCAAGTTGTAAGTTCAAGTGAACATTTTATGTATTGCTTCCCTGACAAATGCTATGCACACTCTTACAGAATACTTAGCCACCAAACTAAATACTGTGACTGGCCCTAAATGTGACAAGATGTTTGTAACAAACCATTTTGCTTGATTTAAAGGGATAGTTCACCCAAAAATGAAAATTTGGTTTATCTGCTTACCCCCAGGGCATCCAAGATGTAGGTGACTTTGTTTCTTCAGTAGAACACAAACGAAGATTTTTAACTCAAACCGTTGCAGTCTTGTCAGTCATATAATGTCAGTGGATGGGAATCATGGCTTTGAGAGTCAAAAAAACATACACAAACAAAACCAAATTAAACCCTGCGGCTCGTGACGATACACTGATGTGTAAAGACACAAAACGATCAGTCAGTGCAAGAAACTGAACAGTATTTATATTCGTTTTTACCTCTGATTCACCGCAATGTCCGAACTGTCCTGAGTGGCGGCGCGTCCTCAACAGCCAGCGTGTTCGCGTCGTCGTCTTCTTCTTGCTTTACGGCAGATCGCAGACTTATAAGTGCATTACCGCCACCTATCTCTCAAATGGACCATTGACACTCCTAATTGAGATTGTAGACAGAGTGTCGATGGTTAATTTGAGAGATAGGTGGCGGTAATGCACTTATAAGTCTGTGATCCACCGTAAAGCAAGAAGAAGACGCGAACGCGCTCAGGACAGTTCGGACATTGCGGTGAATCAGAGGTAAAAAACGATATAAACACTGTTCAGTTTCTTGCACAGACCAATCGTTTCGTATCTTTACACATCAATGTATCGTCACGAGCAGCAGAGTTTAATTTGGTTTTGTTTGTGTATGTTTTTTTGACTCTCGAAGCCGTGATTCCCATTCACTTCCATTATATGACTGACAGACTGCAACGGTTTGAGTTAAAAGTCTTAATTTGTGTTCTACTGAAGAAACAAAGTCACCTACATCTTGGATGCCCTGGGAGTAAGCAGATAAAAATTTTTGGGTGAACTATCCCTTTAAGCTTATGTACTATACTGTGAAATGTAGCATATTTGACACTGATCCAAAACTGACATTTGACAGATTGTTCAGATGCCGAGGCCTTAAAGCTGCTGTACAAGATTGTCAGAATCACTAGATAAGTCACTACTGATGTTAACCCCCACTTTAGACCCAATATAACTTGACAAAAACAAAGCTTTTTTTCTTTTTTACATTTCTATAGACTATTTATTAAAGCAGAATTTTTTTTTTTAAAGTAATAAACAGTAAAACTGTAAAACTGAGTGTTGGACTGTTTTATGAACTGCTATTATTCAGGATGTAAAACAGCAGTATACTATACAGCATCTACAAAGTAAAAAAAAAAGAACCGCAAGAACTCATCCAGGATTAACATATGAAATTAAATTTTTTATTGACATTAAGGAAACACAGAAGCTTTTAATAGGTTACATCTGGACAAATGTAAATAAAGATGAAAGCTGTAGTGTTTCTTAAGTTAAATTATGTTAGGCTCAGACTTCAATGTCCTTGATTTGGCCATTTATATTTGTTTCCATCCATGGAGCTGAATCTCTCAGCCTGAAACTGCAAATACAACACAAACTAGCACTACAAAATCTTGATCGGGATGAGAATGAATTTCTCTACCATCATTTTAGCAGGTCTTCAATGTGTCAGGGGTGTATATATATATATATATATATATATATACACACACACCGAAAGATGTTATGCTGGTGTGTTTTGGAGGTGTCCTGACTCTGAGAATGATCATTTCATAGTACAGACATGATGTGCTAAGCAGTGCTCTATTTGGTCCAGACTTACAAAGATAAATGGAGTTTTCCTCAAAACCCACAAAACAAAAAACAGCCTGAAATTTAATAGAAATGATAGAGCTCCATTATAAGTAAAAATGGCCATTTTGTATAGCCTCAAAAGGCAAAGTGATTTAACACATAACAAAACAATTAATATGGCCTCAAACCTGCAAGAATTGTAAGCTATGAATCTTTTATTCAATTCATGATTAAGAATTAAGAGCAGGCTTAGGCTGGTTAAAATACAGTAGATTCTACTTTTCACAGGGAAATGAGAATGCTTTTCAACATTTTAAACATTAAAAAGTGTGCACATTACGCTGTTTTGTTATTTTACCTATCACCATTTCTGTTCTTGCACCATCCTTGAGTTTAACGTTCTGCTGTTCACCACAGTGGCTTTCGATCGCCAAAGAGTCTCTTACCCGATCTCCATCTGGTCCCTTAGAGCCCAGTCAAACTGGGGCCACAGTCTAGTGTTAGTTTTTTTTTTTCTCATTTGAAAGTCAACACCAGGGCTTACCTGTAGCCAGGGCAAGTCGGTCTCTGGTACACACTCAAACGACATAGGACAAGGACACCTCGCAGTGGAAACCTTCCTATCCCAGCAGTTGTTGCACAAAGTCTCTTTCTGTTTGTGTAACGAGGGGCTCAGTTGAGCTGGATTTGCAGGTCCTCTCCGTACTTGCGCAGATATTTGTCATGGTTGTGGTTGACGGACCAGAGAGGGGGCAAATGGCGGGGCTGCATGCTGGTCAGGAAGTGTTGTCGCCAGCAGCGCTCCAGCTCCATCAGGCCGCGCAAACCGCGCACAGCATGCGCCTGCACTACCTTCAGTCCATGCGGCACATAACTCTCGTTTAAGATCCTGCAAAGGTAGAAAAAGATGTCAATCTTAACCTTACACAACTCAGAACTGCTGTACGTTAACATATGAACGCCAACATAAAGATGTCTATCAGCTGTTCAGTTCCTCTAATCATGCATACCAGTTACTTGTATCAATTCTATTTCCTCCACCTGAGGGGATCTGAGAAAACCCCTAACTTTAAGTTTTATATTTTAACAAGAAACTTAAAGGGTTAGTTCACCCAAAAATGAAAATTAGCCCATGATCAAAGACAATTATTAATATAACTCTGACTGGACTCGTCTGGAAGAAGAAAGTCATATACACCTAGGATGACTTGAGGGTGAGTAATTTATGGGCTAATTTTCATTTTTGGGTGAACTTACCCTTTAACAGTAACTGTTTGTGCGGTTACTTTAACTTCCAAGCAATCTGACTCCTGGTGCAAAATAAAACAGGCAAATATTCCATAGATTTGCAATAAAGGAGGGACTGATTCACATCTAGAGAGCAGGTTCTGGTTCCAACAAACCCCATAAGCTAAGAAAAACCTAAAGGGAGATTTTGGTAACCGAGTATTCAACCAATTGTTTTGACGATTAATCAAGTAATCAGATTCTTATTTTTTTGTAATTAATAATTGGATCAAAGTATAAAAAAAATAAGTAATCTTTTGGTTTTAATGAACAATATTGTTAAAATACATAACGTAATATAATATATGTAGTATATGCATGTACAGTGGGTACGGAAAGTATTCAGACCCCCTTAAATTTTTCACTCTTTGTTATACTGTTTTATACTGCTAGAGAGACAGTGCATTAAAATATACATTAACATCTCAAATAAGATTTCTATTTTAAATCATAACATGCAATGACTATAATAACAATAATTCTATGGATGAACAACTTATCCTGCAGAAGTTGCCAACCACCTGGTTATTGGTCTTGTTATACTTTAGAGCACAATCAAATACTTAATCTTTGCCTAATTAGTTTTAATTCAAAATATCCTATCACTCAGCCTCTAGCCT